ATGGACCTGAATTCCCGCATCGAAGTGTTCGCGCGCGAAACGCGAGGAAGTCGCTTTCCGTCCTACGGTCATCAGGCACCCCTGACAGGCCAGTGCCGTCGTCAAGTAGAGAAACAAATTCAAAAAAAAACCCCATCAGCAGAGAAAGAACATCGAGCCACAGCTACGAACCAAGTGTTGTAAAATAGTCTTGCAAGATTTGTGATATGAAAATTGGCTGTGACGTACTGCTCCTCGATTAGGTTGAGCGTAACGCGCGACCCCCCGCCAACTGTTCCTGTCGCGCTTACATGTCGTGGTTGCAGACCTGGTCACATGTCGTGACGTCAACGAGTGTAAACCGATTAGGGGGGGGGGTTGTTACATGTGGTGCAATTTGACCATTATTACAAGCCTGGCAACTGAAAGAAGTTCACATGAAACTTCCCATGCTGGGACCACACGTCAATGAGTGAAACGAACAAACATCCTGAAGTCATCCGCTGAAACAGGCGATGGCAAAAGTCACCATCGCCTGTTTCAGCAGAAACTGGCGTGACGAAACTAAGGTAACTAACGGCGCTGTTTCGGGAAAGGCACAATCTACGTCTAAGTTGAGCATATTAAATGGTGCTAAGTGGGTTGGGGGACGCGGCGGCGCGGCGCTCTGTTCGTCTGCTCCTCCAAGGCTTAGTCCGCCGATGGCGCGTATTTCGAAACTGCCACGTGGCGACGAAATAGTAACTGCCCCTTGGACTAAGCCTTAGAGGAGCAGACGAACAGAGCGCCGCGCCGCCGCGTGGTCCCCCCCCCAACTACTTAGCAGCGATTAATTTCTTCCATTAAAAGAACACAGTCGTCTGAAAAGTAAGAACGCGTGCCGTTCTTGTGGCTAAGAAGTAGACGACGACGGCTCTAGGACCTGTCAATCCGCTGAATAACGCTGCGGCTCTGTTGTTTGCGATATAGAAATTTACGCCTTGAGGTACCAGCGTTTCGCACAACTGCCCTACTCTCTAATAGCTATCACGTCGCAGCACCGAATTCGTCTATTCGTCATGAACACAAGCCCTGAGCTCAAAAAGAAGGCCTCTGATTCCAGTGTTCCGCGCGTTCGTCTTCTTTCTCTTCGATCTCATTCCACCATACTTGTATTTTTAATTTTGTAGAAGAACCCGTATCTTGGAATGTACTTTTAAGGCGATTTCGTACTCGGCGAAATTCCAGTTGCAGCTCCTCTTATCCGTAGCTAGTTCGCGAACGTTAAGGCAGCTTCATATATCCACAGTGAAAATGAAGGACGAGGAAAACGGCCAAATAAATGACTCGCGGTGAACTAACTGGTCCTGTTGATGACGTTTTTTATCGAGGATGACAACGTGTTTAGAGGCACACTGCGATTAGTCCACTGGAGCAAATATTGTACTTCGGTGGGTAGGAAGAAGTTGCTCACGAAAGTTACGGCCATTTTTGGTTGCCATTTTCGTGGCTTGAAAGAACACAACAATGACGATGGGGCCTTGCTAGCGACCCTGGTTATTGGTCCTCCTGTTGCTTGATATCGAACGGCCGTGTGTTTGCGCCCTCCCGTACAGCGTGTTCTCTCACGTCAACTCTCTCTTCAGCGCGCTGTGTCTCTCCGTCGCACCACGTTCGGCCTCACAACGTTCGGCCTTACAAAAATAGGGTGGGCCTAAACCAAGGGAATGTGAATCTGGTGCACCACTTCATGTCCCACAGTAATCCTGATTTTTCAGGGGAGAAAGCGGAAGCGATTCACGGTTCACACAGATTACCCCTCCTTGCAAGAATTAGATTCATGGTAGGGACATGAACGTTCGCACCACATCCCCCTTATTATCAAGAAACCTTTAAATCCAGTGTTTCCAATGATCTCTCTTGTTTTTTGTCTTGGCCAGACCTCTACACCTCCATTTTCATTTTTGAGCAAAATCATAGCAACTTTTGATCACAGGGTGTACCTTTCAATCGCTAGCGTGTGCAACAGCCTATGCAGACTATAAAAGTAATCGGCTAAAGAGAGGTTGCCAACATTCAAATAAGGCGCGAGTTTTTCGAAATCTTCCATATTGATTGCTATTATTTTATCCACAATGGTCGCGTACAGGCATTCGTCATCCTCTCGTGATCCATCAACATTATAATTCTACAGGTTTTTTCTCTCTAACTCGTCGCAAGGCTGGTACAGAATAATTATGAAAGATGGGTGGTTGCTAGGCAATTGCCGAGCTAGAGCGGCGTCTCCTTCGCACTTGCCACTGTGACATTTATTGCCTCTTTGTGATTGTCTTCGAACTGTCAGCTTGCCTTTGCATTGACTTCCGTCCAAGTTGTTATTGATTAGCGATGCTGAAGAAGTTGTTTTGCAGAATTCAAAGTTTCCATCGACCCCAAAGGTTGCTCGCCGCTATACCTACAACGGGAATACTTGCAGGCAAGTTTTTTCTACACTGAAACTCTTCGGAGACAAGGAACTGTATCGAGAATTGTCCTTGACTTTAATCAATCTGGACACTCATGATCTGGGGGGGGGGGACTCAGAATAGAACATTCAAAAACCTTTGAGACAACAAAGGTTACTCACGTTCTCCCACAGGATCCTTTCTATTCCTAAGGTTACAACTGCGCTTTTCCCAGAAACCTTCACATTAGATTAATGTTCGAAAGTATCATGAGGTTCCTGGATTTCGTTGTAGAAAAAAATCCCCAAAATTCCAGAAATTTTTTTGCGCTCTGCAATTTACATATGCTTGGAAACTTCTCTTCACTTGAATATTCGATTGGTTAACTAATTAGTACTTACTTGTTGAAACGAAATAATTGAATTACAGGGGTGCCTCTCACTCTTGAAGTTTTGGAGCACAAACTGGTGCACCTATACTCCTTTTCAAAAATGAGAAGAGCATCGGGTGCAGACCATACACAACACAAGTGACGACGCCTTCCACAAAATGTGAATGTTCTTCTGCCAGTAAAATGATTAGCCTGTTGCAGTTGTATTCTATCAGTTGTCACTAATTACAACCTATCTTTAGCAAAATCAGCATATCACTATGTATCACTAATATAGCCAGATATTACTGACCGTCGTCACATTGTGGTGTCATGGGCGCACCGACTGCTGCGACGTCGCTCTCCGTTTTTTTTTTTTTTGAAAAGGAGGGCATGTAGGTAACATTCTCAATGACTCTAGCGAATAAGCATGTCGTAAATAAAATTATACATCAACCGCGGGAATCGGTGCACGCGGAAAGCAATAAGCGAAACACCATCAGCAAAATGGGTTAGAATAGGTATCGAATCATTTGACTCCGCCTTACACAAGAATCGGTGGAGCGCGAATGCGAGGCGCAATTCTTCTGTTCTCTCGATCAATTTGTAAGCAAATCCTGTCGCAGCTCCAACCGCTCTCGGTTAGGCTGAGTAGCAGTATGTGAGCCATGCCTGTACACTTATTAATTTCATAATGAGATTACGTCGCCTTTCAAATATTTGTTCTTCTCACTATTTATACAGACTTCAACGCGGAGTGCTTTCTCCCTCTGTTTACGTGCTGATGTAGAGCGAAACGGTGCTGCGAGACGTGTTCATGAGTTGCTGAAAAAGTGCCAAAGCCTCCGTAATAACCGGTGCAACAAACTCCAGCGATGACCGTAAAATTGCAGCTAGTGTTGCTTCTTGCACCACCCCCCCCCCCTTGGTCCTGTCTCGCTATAGCTGGGCATGTGGTCGCGAAGGCCGTCATGTTTACATGACGGGAAAGTCAAAAAAACTGTATCAATCTGTATCAAGGCAGCGACATCCGGTGGGTGCGTGGGCGTGCGATACTTCAGCGGCGTGCGTCAAACGATCAGCTGTTGCGAAGTTAGGTTATTTTCATCTTTTTCGTTGCTTCAAGAATCGGAAAAATGGCATGTGATTTATTGTCGATACAACTGGTCGCTCGTTGCAGCGCTACTTGTACTTTACGGGGAACATTTTATGCGCTCGCGACTCGCCAAAAGAGCTTTAGAGTAGATGAGAGGATGATGGCAAATGTCAAAGCAGCCTGTGTCGATGTGGTGATTTTGAGATGCGCCATGAATTCGTGTCCTGCAGGACATTTCATTTCTTGATTGATCTATGGAATTATTGCGACGGTTGTTCTGAGTGTATGTCGTTGTTTCTTCCCAGATAAGCTTGGTACCAAATCGTCTACACAGGAACATCGAAATCCTTAGCAGGTATAAACGGTCACTGAAAGAGGCCTACTCACCTACACATATTTTTTCGTCACCTCTGCTTATTATACCAACGGTACCTTTTCAGCCTTCAGTGTGGGAAGCGATTTATTGGCGACAACAGTCCACCCACTCAATCTATACCCGTCCAAGGTACAAATAAAGTTCGACGTAACATGCCATCTGCCTTCTCTAGGTAACCTACTTAGTTCAAGTGCCCTGTTTGAACATTGGTTATTTTGCAGTTTCTGGGTAGTCATTAAGTTTTCATCGACGGGTCCGAAGGGTTCAAAAGTAGGGTATCACCGAATTCTTGGTTTAGAAGCAACGAGATGCTGTAGCTACTTTTTCCCCCTCCCCCTTCAGTACCTCCGGGATACTTCCCGTCAGGATCCCGTTCTGGCTGCGATAGTTTTGTAGGCGTCCTCTAGCGTTGAAGTGGGCATAAGAGCCTCTGATTAAAAGCTTGTTCGACGCTGTGAGCGAAGTGTTTATCCGTGCTACTCTCAGATCTCAAGCGACGCTCCTCATGTCTTCTGCCCGAGGGTTCATCAGCCACGATAGGGTTTCATTTACATTTGTCGTGGTGTGGCGCCGGTCGTGTGTGAGGATGGCCCCTGAGGGGCGGAGCATCGAGGTGCGGGATATCCGGTCGTCGATATCACAGCCTCACTGTGTCGATCAACGTTGTTGTTTCTTGCTCAGCTCAGTTGTTCGATATTCCGATATACTGTTAATCATTTCAGCTAATCGATAGTCATCGATCGCACCCTTCGCGAGATGGCTCAGATCGTCCGCCAGAGCAAGTTTCGCCATGTCTACTGTAAACCGTTGAAGCATGAACAATGCATGTCGGATCTTCGGGTGGGTGGAGCTAGGCGAACGCGAAGAACTCGTCCTTTCGGCGTTTTTTTGTATAGTAATTTTTATTTATTGCTTGAGGAGTCTTGTAGATTCATATTTGTTGCAATAGAAGCACTGTAGATCTTTTTCGAAGTCATAACTCTTTCAGTGGAAGCGAGTGTGTAAATAGGTTCAGGGTTCTTAATTACAGGTCACTGAAATCACTTGGGACTCGTTGTTTTGCTCGGTGAATCCGAAATTTGTGGCGTTTATCACAAAAGGTGCAGGAGGACCGTTCATGGTGATCCCAGTGAACAAGGTGAATGACTCGTCTTTTCTTCCTTCTTTTACTTCCATCGAATTTTTCTTCTTATCCTATCTAATTTTGCTCAGTTGCATCTGTTTCAATGCCAGTGTTTTTATCGTTTGTTTTTCTTTGTTTTCCTTTCGACGCGTTCTTCTCGAATATTCCATATCAATCAATGCTCGCTGTCCGTGCGGCCGGGCCGCTTGTGTTCAGCAACTCTCAGCTGCCAGTGCTGCTATGCCTGTGGCTGTGTGTTACAACAATGGCAGATGCTGGCTGGCAGCTCGCTAGCGCGCTCTACTCAGCTCGGAAAAGTCTTAAACTCATTTCAAATGCCAGTTGAACGGCCAACCCAATATGTAGGAAGTAGCCTCGCGGTAAGCCCTGGTGAGAGCGCTCTTCATGCTTTTGGAGACTTCACTGAGCTGTGAAAAAAGTAGTCTTCCAAATCGCAAACAAAACGTCGTTCAGAGTACCGTGGATAAGCTGGTGATTCTCTCCTAAGAATTCTTGTGCATCACTCGAAGGAGTGGAACAAATCAGGTGTTTATAATTGTTTTTGGTCTGCAAAAAAACATTGCCCTCAGAAGGAATATTGTGAGAAAAATTGCTTGGCGTTAGTTATTATTTGAGTATGCGTCATGTATTGGGCTTTCATTCGGTTTATATGTCTTGGCATGTCACACACTGAGTTCGGGTGTTGACCTGATGTTTTTTGTCCTCGCATAAGAGCCGACTGCAGTTAACTGGGGCGAAGTCAGAGTAGGTTTGATTGACACAAATCGCTTGTTGAAAATGATCGAAAGTCCCACTTGTTTTCGCCGAAAATTTCGCATCGCCTCGAGATGAACTGGTTTTGCTTTTTTTGCTAGGGAGGTTTTCATTCACAAAAAGGATGAAAGGGAAAGAGTTGGGACTAGTAAAGCAGCTAAAAAATATCATCTGTTTTTTTTCCTTATTAGCTGCGGTGCAATCTCTTTCTCATCTACGTATTTGGGGGTGGCATGTGTCTTTTTGCACACCACCATAATCCTGAGATAATTTTAAAACATCTGATGTGTAATCAAGGTGTCTTGTAGCGAAATGATTTTCAAATGTTCTCGGTGCCGAAATATCTCGACAGCGCTGTTCATACAGCTCTAGTCTTCCGAGGTGGAAGGCTAGTGCCTGTTGCAAGACGTCCTCAAAAATATGGCTGTTTCACTAGTACTTCGCTGATAGATTAAGAAGCTGCAACACTCACTGAGATGGACCACTGTCGCTAGCGGCAGCTTTTCCAGGACATAAACTATTTCACCAAACCCGTTCACTAAGGAGCTAGTAAAAGTCAAGTATGTGGCTTATTTTGAAGACGTTCACACCTAATTTTTCAATCTTTTATTCGCTCTCTCGATTTCGAGACTTTCTACATAAAAATCTTTATCCGGAGCTTACAAATGTTTCAAGTGAATGATACACCTGATTTTTCTTTCGCGCGTTCCACTACTATACCTTAAAAAGTCGAATTACGTCGAAAGGTTTTGTTCTTGATCAATGACGCGAAGCTTCTCGATCTTATGATTAGTCGCGTGGGTTCGATGAGGAGCTTCTAACGTTAGCAGTATCGGCAAACGTCAAAACCAGCTGTTGTTTGGGCGTATCAATGACGTTTAGGCTGGCCTGCCAACCAGTAAACCGACGAATAGGAAGGAACGAACGGAAAGTGGTGTGAAGAGTATTTCTCTGAATCGTAAATTCATACTGCAAACAAGCTTTCGGATTGATTGAGATGCAACCAGTCATCTTAGACGTGTGGCGCTAACTTCAAGATGATCTCGAATCTCGAAATTTCCTCAAAACACCTTGAAGAAGCTTCCAAGACAAGGCGTTTCTCTTCATAGAATAAAGCAACTTCCGTTCTGTTTACATGTGTCAGACTGTGAGAGCCCGGGGAACATCTGGCAATCAGTTTTCTATTTGCCAAAGTGATTAAGAACTTTGATTGTATTCGACGAAGCGCCGTGATGTGCTCGTCTTGACTTTTATCTGATCCTATTGCATGTATATCACCAACATTTCACGTGTACCCGATCTTTTGTGGATGAAAAGCAAAACAACTCGGTTTGAGGTAGAGATTGAGGCAGAGTTGGAATTGTTTTCACGAAAACTCGTCCGTAAAAAACTTCAAAATTAATTCGTCTCTAGGCTGTGTACCCATCACTAAGTAACCACTGACTAAATGCTTCTCGTCGCATCCTCTTCCATCAAAAATTGCCCAATCCTTCTTCTTTGGCCCTGCTGTCAAATGAAGGCGGAAAGGTTTTAATCCTGCATGATTCTGGGATTGATTATGGATTGTATGGCTCCCCTGAACGGAGCTATTCTCCAGCTGCTGGAGACAGCTTTGTGCTCTTTGGTATTTTATCAACTCTCTCCTAAATCGTTTTCTTTCGAGTACAATTTATACAAGCTCCCTCACATCAATCCTCACTTCAATATCATTCTACATTCCATTCATCTTCAGTCTTCAGAAATCAATTCTGCTCTTATCGTTACTCATATGTACATTATCAGATTACGGGCCGCCCAGCTTGGGAAGTAATTGGGTCTCAACAGGTAAGCATTTCTTCACGTGAGAGCCTCAGACGCTGCTCGTCGTGGCCCCGATTTTCCCGCTGATTGGGTCCTATTTGTGCGCAAGTTTAGACTACTGCTTTTCTTCATTAAAACGCGTTGTATCAGGCCATTGTCGTAGAGAAAAACGCGCTGAAAGAACAACAACGTGCTAATTTAAACAGTGTTACCAAGTGAAGAAACAAAAATTGCACTGCAGTGCATACTTATAGGAAACCCATAAAATTAAGCTGAATTTATGCGCTCTCTACAGCTAATGTCATTGATTCTTCCTTAGCATAGATTGTACATCTGTTTGCTCTCGTTCAGAGGATCTTGAAAGTCTGCCCTACTCCGCGGTCATTCTTGTTGTCCTCGCTGCTCTTCAGTGTCCATTATTTGATCAGAATCCAATGAGCAACATAGCAACAAACATAAGCATGTGCAAATATTGCTGCCGTGGGGTTCATCCCAAGAAATCGCAGACAACTTTCCAATGGAAAAACTTATTTTCAGGTTGGTCGAATCGACAAGGATTACCCCTTTGTGGATGCCCACAAAGCCCCTTGCCTGGAGGTGGCATGGAGCCCGTTCAACGACAACGTCATTGCCTCCTGTTCCGAGGATACGACGGCTAAGGTACGTTGTAGAACATCTTGCAGAAGCTGGCTAGGAGAATATTGAACACAAGGAAGGAATCCACAAGGCTACAATCGTCCCCGCATCTTTCCGTTTGTTTAATTACTAGTGCGTTCTAATGGTAAACTCGTCAGCATTTTTCTTTAGAGAATTTTTATTGCAAATTTCAACATCTGTGAGCTGCCGCTTTGGTGTGTTACTTGCTTAGACGAACACTGGGAGAATTTCGCTTCTGTTCTTTCTGTGCTTACCAAAGCCTTAATAGGAGTTTTCGGTTAAGCGAGGAAAAGCCTATCTTGTCGATCTTCTATGGCTTTTGACTTATGGCTAGAATAACAGAATCGATACTGAATCCATTTCGAATTTCATCTTAATGCGGCTTTATTATACAGGTGTGGCTGATTCCTGAGAGGGGCTTGATGCGGAACCTCACCGAGCCGGTTGTCGAATTATGTGGCCATCAGAAGAGGGTCAACACCCTGGCATGGCACCCAGTTGCCAATAATCTTCTGCTCACGGCTGGTCTGTTATTATTCAGAGTTGTAGCGATCAAATATTTTTGAACATCCTTTCCATTTAGTCAACACTTCACGTTACAATGTTTTCCAATTTTTATGATTCAAATCTTTTTATTGTTTTTCTTGACAAAATCTATAAAGCACCTTTGCTTATAACTACGATGAAATTTCCTTTCATTTCTAGGCAGCTATTTTTGGGCCTATTAATGGAGTAGGTTCTCGATTTTGTTCCGCAACATTTGTGGGTGAATTCTAGTCATTCCCAGGAGTGTTTTCCTGCAGATATGACTCATTTTTTCCCTTGTGGTTAGTGATACCCGTTGTCAGTACCATAACACCTCATCAGTTAGTTTGAATCACACTCAGCGCTGGACCCTCTGTGGTGCGCTCCATTCACGCGTTCTACTTCTATTCAGAGTCGTAGTAGCACTTGAGTGCAAGGCCTGGCAAGAGTCCCGAGTGGCTGAAGTTGGGTTCAAAGGCTTGGTTGACCCCGACGCAACTCTCAGATTATCCGGTGATGAGCCGCGTTAGATTGCTTCCTATTTTTGCTCCAGCACTCGATTTCTCACTGTAAGTTTTCCTCGGGTTTCTGTAGAGAGTTGAATCTTCCCATGAAGAACATGATACGCTCAGTAATTCATCTGTTTTTTTTTCTGAAACTGGGTACACATTTGACTCCTACTCACGAACATGATGCTACTCGAATGCTCACCTCTTGTATACAATTAAGTAAGAGGGTCTGCCGAGGCTCGAATCAGGACATTAATGCTTTTATACGAATTTGCTTGCAGTGATCCTTTTTTTCGGTGAAAGTGCAAAAGGAACTAAATGTCCCTCCAAAGAGACGGCTCAGCGCTGTTTGCCACCACCTCACCTTGACCCGACTGCCCATTGAATATGGCTTACTCAGCATGGCTTTCCCTTGTCGAGCATCTCCCTAATCGATTCTCTTCGTTTAATTGATACCTAGATTCAAGCTTTTATTGATCGACTCGCTGAAATTCGCGTTTATTCCACGAAATTCGTTATCAAAGTATTTCTTCTATGTGAGCAATGAGAAAGCAATGCGAAGCATTCAATCAGCTTCATGGTTCT